TTTGTGCTGCTGCCTAGAACTGATCAAACATCGATGAGAAGCAAAACAAACAAATTAGTTAATAGTTAATACCACAAACACAGACTTCTGCAGTCTTCATGATGCTAAGAGGAAATCAAAAACTCTACTTAGCTCCCCCTCCAGCTCCAGGAGCTTGTGGAAATACATAGCAGTAATATAGCTCTTCTTCATAGACAATTGACACACAAATCAATTCATCAAATCGTAACGCATAGCAAAGACAACAAATTTCTAACTTTTAGTTGATTAGTTGGATTTATAGTGCTAGATTTCTAACCTATGTGGATCTTTGACTGCAAACCAAATCTCGTGCCCGTTGGGTAACAGATGGTGGCATATTTTCAACTAGTCATCCTCCAACAAAGTCCATACCATCCTGCATAGAAACAATAGGAAGTTTTCAGGTAACTGGCTCAAGCTAGGAGGTTTATTCCAGTGAGATAAATCATCTACTTACCAAAATAAAGATATAAAGAGAAGGATAACAAGATAGATGAGCTTGACGAGGCGACGCTTCTTCTCCCCATTGAGCTGGTTGAAGATCTCAGTGACATCCATTAGGTGTTTCCGCTGCAGATATCTGGAAGTGATAACAGAGACTGTGACTTGAAAGCGTAGGCTAATCTAACAAGTAAATACTTAAATTATAGAGCTTTTTGCAACATCGCGTAAATTTTTCTATTATTTGCCTGCCGAAAAGGAAATGATAATAGCATGAAAAGAATATATACTAAACACTAAACATGAATCTCTTTCCTTCTCCTGAGAAACAAGAAGATTAGAAGATGTAGACACCCGGTTACCAAACTGTGGGCTCCGAAAATTCGCGCCCGGCCTCCCTTACTTTCGGGGGAGTTTTAACGGATTAAATTCTGAGGTAAATTCCCAGAAGGCATATTTGGTTTGAAATAAGACACTACCCACAGATTTTGTCCTCATTTTGCAAGGACTTTAGATCTGAGTTCTGGTTTCCTATAGGTACAAGCCTCTATAGTTAATTATCCCTCCCAATCACAAGAGAGAACTTTCGATTAAGGCTAGTCGTCAAACATATATGTAGAGATATGAGTTATCTAGTGTGTAGTAGCAGCATATGTTTGGGTTTGAATATTTAACATTTAAAATCAGAATTTTAGCAACTTGGAACTTAAAGCAGATGGTAGGGGAGGTAAATATGAGCACGATTAAGATCTCATGGTTCCGTCATCGGGGCCATCATGTTCCCTGGTCTACTTAGTTAGAAAAGGTAGTCGACCCAACCTGACAAAAGGATCTTTGTCGGCAGCCATTGGTTGCTTCGTCCAAAGGAACCTTGTAAATCTTGGATGAATATTTGCCTAAGGGGACAAATTTGAAACCACCTTAGCTAACTGAGGGCTTTGTGCTCTATCGATCATATCATTTATTCACATCTAAAGGATTTAGTGGTTTTGGGGAGCATATGGGCTCTTGCCATAACCATAATTTAGCGTTGTCATTTTGCGTCAAACCACCCAATTCTGAGGGCCCGGCCATAACCGTTTAACTGCAGTGTCATTTGGCGGCAAAATCGCCGGTTAGAGGACATGTGCCACGTCTTAGCTGGCAAAAGATATTTTCAGAATAAATCCTAGTGATATTCTCGATCAAACATTAGCTCTTAGTGAGATGAAGTGATATTTGAATTTGTTTACCTTGACAAATTGTTGCAGATGATGGACGAATTTTGCTTTAAATGTTTAATGATTTATTCACTACGTGATTCAACAAACACTAGACCACATCCCCAAATTGTTATTCATTATTATCCCTCTCTAACATGTCCTCGCTCAAACAACCCACACATTATCATTCGATTTGAGTCTAGTGTTTTGGTCTTCGCTCTCTCCACAATTCCCTCGTGCACAAATGCAAGTAAACAATCGATAACTCACTGATCTTTCATCTAATCAGATTATTAAAATCACTCTTTTGTCGTCAATCAATAGTGCAGTATGACATCCCTTCTCCCTCCACTGACCTTAGGTATAGGTATAGAGTTTTTTTTTTTTTTTTTTTTTCTCTACTCCACAAATGCATTAGGCTGAAACTTGATGATAGTAATCTAGCTATCAGCAAGAGGAGGTCAATTGAATTGTTAAGACTGAGCAAAATCTATACGAAACTGCCAAAATAGACCAAACCAAATCAATTTTTTTAAAGACAGAAAATATCTAGCTTTTACAAAAAAAGTTGCACAGAACTAAACAACTTGGTTGTGTTCAATGTCTTGATGAAACAATCAAACAAGAATCAAACCAAACATCAACAACAACAAAAACAAATCTTTATCCCACTACAAGCCATTGCACCGCACCAAACATCATTCTTTAAAAAATGTTAAAAAATGCTTATTTTGCAACTTCCATATTCTAAGCAAAACTATTTATTATAATAAATCATAAATTACATTCGAATTCACGTCTCAATCTCATACTTCCGCACCTCTCATCTTCTTACATCCATCTCAAATGACTCGTTTAATTAGAATTAAAATTCTGTATGAGAGCATTTTACTTTTATTTATATTTTCCAAGATTAGTCTTCTTTTTTATTATTTATAAATCATGTAAATGCTTTTTGTGTGCGCGCATGTTTAGATTGTACACTTATTTTTTCCTATATTAAATACAACTTTCTGTATTTAGTCTTAAAATAAAAAATCAACTGAACCTAACCGAAAGAATGTTTTTTTTTTTTTTTAATACGGGTAGTTTGGTTTAAACCTTTTCAGAATTGGCATTGCGGGCTAGAGTTCTAATATATGGCAACCCAAACCAAACTAAATCATGCTCGCGCCTAGCAATTGCTAGGGGACTTTGACACCAGTATGCTTACGACGATGTTCCAGTCACCAGAAGTGGACTAAATTTAATTGCCGCCATTAACGTCCCTCTGATGAGAAGGGAAAAAAAAATGACTAACATGATGAAATCAGTAGAATATGTCAGCAAAAGGAGCAACATAAGAGATGCAAAACCTCATAAAAGGCTTCAATTCTTGCAAAACTGAAAAAAATACAAAATATGGTCCAAAATAAGGCATATAAATCATGCATTAGCAAATCAATTTTGATCATGGAAATCGAAATAAAGCAAACATTAAGGGGGGAAACTGTAAACTTACAATCTCACATTGTAGTAGAGCATTGGAGCAGAAAAAAGAAACAACATCCATTGCCCCGATACAAGAAAAAGCAGACATAAGGTTCCTTGCAGTACAAATTCTGGTAAAATCACTGCATTTATCCGTGAAGATAAATCATATGGGTTAATGTAGTCATACTCTAGATCCGACAAGGACACCAGCTGCAAAATAAATGTGTAAAGCAAAAACCACGACAAAACCAAATGATAATTGCAATTTTGTGAATAAACAAAAGACAGAGGGTAATGTTTACTACAAAATGGAACTGCTAAAATGATCAAATATAACTGAATCTCTTTCCAAATATAAATAAATAAATAAAGCATTCAGCAAGTCAATTTATTAACTTCATTCAAGTTAGCCTTTGGTTGAATATTAACTATTCCAGAAACCTTTGCGGGATCAATACTTTTTCCTTAACAAACACATAGACATATAGTTTTATAGACGAGTAATTCAATTTTCTCGATCAGTGACACAGAACAAGCCACACTTTGGGCAGCATAAGAACAGTGGTTATTTCGTTTGCTTTTTATTCTTTGGTAAGTGGAACAGTTAGTTCCTTTCTTCCATTCAATTTTATTGATTGAAAATAAAAAGTCTCTGAAGAGACAAACAAGCAATCGGAATATGCATCATGCATATGAGTTATGAACAAATCCTTCTCTTTAATATTCAGATGTGATTCTTCATAGTTTTAGGCATCCTTTGGGATACATGTAAAGCACGGGTAAACTTTGAAGTAGCAAGCATTATCAGTTTATTGTTTCATAAGGATTCCTGGTGAGAAATGTTTGGAGACAACTTCAAAAAGCATGACCAAGTTAAATATCAGCTATTGATGTAGACAAATGGGGGGTCAAATCAAACCCAAAAAAAATTTGGTTTTGACTTCTCTTGAGCTTGCTAGCTCATTAATTTTTTAGCTAAGATTTAGCACATTATGAGCTGGTTTTTAGTTCATTTATTGAACTAAGAGTTAGCTCATTATGAGCTATGTTTTTTAGTTCATTTATTAGTGAACTTGACTCTTCCTTTTCCCCTTTTCTTCTTCCATGCTTTAGCTTTTGGGTTTCCTGTGTTGGGATGTTTTCCGTGCCTTGGCTCCTTGGTTTCCCCGGTTGGCTGCTAGTTTTCCGTGTTGGGTGGCCTTTCCCGTGCCTTGGTGCTTCGGTTCCGTGCGGGCCTCCTTGGTTTTTGCGGCTGCCTCTTCGGGTTCCGCCTGGGCTGTTTTCCCGTGGCTGTTGGGGGCTTTTCCGTGGCTTTGGTGCTTTGTTTCCTGTGAAGAATTGGGAATATTACGAAGTGGTTGTTGGCTTTTCATTTCCCTCATTTAATTAGCTTTTAATTAATGTTTTGGGGCTGTTTTTATTCTCTCTTTTGGTCTATAAAAAGGAGATGTTTGTGGTTGTTTTAGTAAGTTGATATGATGTGATTTTTGGAAGCTATAACTTGCGGGTTTGCTTGGAAAAGCTTGCGAGCTTTGTCCAACTTCTCTTCCTCTTCTCTTATAGGAAAGCTTGCGAGCTTGTCCTCCTTCGTCTTGGCTTCTAACCTCTTTCGTCTCTCCGCAAGTATCCACTCCATTCTGTCATTCTTCTTTAAGAAAGCAAGTTTAGATTTCTTTTATAAGTTTTGTTTGAGTCGTTTGTAAGAGTCGAAATTTGTAAGTCGTTTTAATTTCAAAAGTTTGTAAGTCCTTCTATTTTATAAAAGTGGAGTTTGTGTTTTGTCTTGAAAGTCATATTTTGTCTAGTTTTTGAGAAATTGTGTCATTTCTATTTCCTAGTTAGATTTTTATTTCGCTCGCCCCAAATTTTTGCTTGCATCAGCTATGAACTAATATGCAATTAAGCTGGTGGCACAGTCCCTGATAAAGAATTAACTATCCAACTTGTCATAAGAGCAGGCTTGTCCTCACAACCTAATTAGATTTAGATTGATCAAGTAATAATGTGTAATCAATGGACATTTAATTTAGAAGATCTTTTTATAAAAGATTTTTCAATATGAAAGATGTTGCTGCTGTTGTAATATGAAAGATCCCTTTTGATTTATCTTTCTGATGCTTTCCTGATTTAAAATTTCTTAGATAATGAAATCCCTCATATAAATAGGGTATGCATTTACGTAGTAAACACCCATAATAGTATTGAAACAATTGCAAATAAAGCAAGTCTCCATGTCTCTCTCTCTCTCTCTCTCTTGAGGATGCAGGCACTCTCTTCTCTTCTTTCTCCTACTCCTCTCCACCTTTCCTCCCAAACCAAACCTACCTATTCTCTCCCTCTTTTCCAAAAGGAACTCCGAGCATGCCTCCCTTTTTCTCTTTCTCAAGCATGGTGCAAGAAACCCCAAGATCATTCAACACCAAGAATCATGCCCTCTTTGCAGAAAAAAGAGTTCCAAGTCGCATCATTTTTTTAGAGCCAAACAATATTTGAGTTTTTTGGGATTAGAGGATTGAAGTATATTTGCATTTATTGAGAGTATTGATGGAGAAGTATAAAGAGAATAAGGAGGATCTACATAAGATGTTTATTGATTTAAAGAAAACATGTAATAAAGTTCCGAGAGAAGGGCCATGCAGAATTTAGAAAAGAAGTGGGTTGATAATGCTTATATTCAAGTCATTAAGAATATGTATACATAAGCTATTAATTGTGTTCAAACATAAGGTGGTTTGACCAAATATTTTCCTATTTCAGTTGAATTACATCAAGGATCAGCCTTAAGCTCATATCTTTTTGCTTTAGTCATAGATGTTATCACTAGACATTTGCAAGAGGTTGTACACAGGTGTATGCTTTTTGATGGTGAGAATCTTCTTGTTGATAAAACTAGAGAGGGAGTTGAAGGTAAACTTGAATTATTGATGTAGGCAAATTGGGGGGTCAAAATATTTTGGGTTTTAATTTTTTGTGAGCTTATAAAATCAGCTCATTAATGCTGAACTTCTTCTTCTTTCCAGCTCATTATTACTTGTAGTTTATCTCCTTTTCAGCTCATAATTCATGTCCAAAAGTATTCCCCCTTTATTTGGTTCATTCACCCTTCTCTGTGGCTCATTGGGTTCTCCTCCTTGGCTCCTTCCCGTGGCTGGTCCTTCTCCTTTTCTCTGTCTCTTC